CAAAACCACCCACCCAAAAAAAAACAAAAAAAAAACAAAACAACCCAGCACAAGCAAGTAAAAAGTCTGTCAAAAAATATCAAAATTTATTTCCATTATACACAAATCATCTTTCATTGCGTAAGTTGCTTCTAAAACAAAAATTTGAACATTATGGCATACACATTTTGAACACTTGCACTATTTTTAAAGCACACCCCCCACCCCCACCCCCCCCGTGATGCAGTAACAAAATGTAGAGACCAAGGGCCACTTTTAGGAACTGCTAGAAGACTCTGATACCTGCTGAAAATGCTGTGAATGTATTAGGTTTTCAGCTGCATTAAGACAATTTAACCCTATTCGTACGTCGTGTTTTATTATCGTATCCATACAACGTGGGGAACTCTGTGCCACCACTTTCAAAGAGAAAATTTACTCGTTAATCCGATCTGTACGCTTTGCATGGCAGTCTGTCAAAATGATTTTTTGAGAAATACTGAAAGTCTCAAAGAGATCCTTCGTACTTAGAAGTACAAAATGTATTCTAAAATGTGAAGAATACAACCCCGGGGGTACAAAATGACCCCAGGGCATACGGATAGGGTTAAGCATAATTTAGAGGGCTGGCTGTTTCAAACATATCAGTGCCCACTGGTGGCGGGAGGGATACATAAAAACAAACACTGAGACATTCATGTCTTCCCTGCATGGGAATCAACCTCACTTCCTTTCAATCTTTGTCTGCAAGGTGAAGATTATAACTGTTAGGCCCTGTGCACGCAAGAAGAAGAATTTCCACTCCTCATCGCACGGCTGTGAAGTATGACGTCACTTGGCAGTGAAGAGAGGTGGAACAGGCGGAAACTGTCTCAATTGCATTCTCGCAGCAGTGCAACAGGTGAAAATTTTCCCAATGTGCACAGGGCTTTAAATGACAGATGCTCAGATACCAGTGGAAGAATAAAGATTGCGTAGTCCTTTCAAGAAAAGAAAATGACACAGAGTTCTATCCATTACTAAGTATGGGAATTTGAGTTTGAGATTGAGTATGTTTTATGGCACTCTTGACACAATTGTGGTCATGTAAGCACCACAAGCAGATTTTTTATCATCAAACCGGCTTGTTATTTACTAAAATGAGGGACAGTCATTTATAAAATTTGCAGTCAATATGGTAAACATTCTCAGTAAATATGGCCAAAAATTCTCATTCACAATTTTATAACAATATATAATACATATATAAATATCATCAAAACTTATATATATTTTTTAAGGGAAGTACTTCAGATAATAATACCAACAATCAAAACAATTATAATGATTATAATACTACTAATACAGTCTAGCACACACATAGTGAAATTGGCAGAAAGCAGAAATCTCTTTATCTACGAATTTAGCTAGTAAATGCATGTCTTCAATACAACGAATATACAAGTATCAGAAAAAAATTCAGGACCTAAAAATCTGTTCTCTATGTGCTAGACTGTATTACTACTACTACTACTACTACTAATCATCAGCATCATTGCAGCACATATCCCTTCTTGAAAGTAGCCTCAATGTCCTTTACAATTTACTATCACGACAGAACCTGACACACTCTAAAACATTATGACCTTCCTAGGTAGCACAATACTCAATTTCCCTAGGTAGAGAGAAACTCTCTTAGCCTTACTGAATGCAATTTGTCCAAAAAGTAAAACCATACGTAAGGAAACATACACTTTTTGGAATTCATACATAATATATCAAAACAATTTTCACTTTAAAAAGTTTTTTTTTAAATTAAAAAAAACCCCAAACCTTTGCAGCCCAAGAAACACATTTAAAATTTCACCGAGTTTCATCAACCATTCAGCTATCACATAGAGCGGCTTCCTTTGATTATTTACTTCAGTGCAGTGGCTCTTTTCCCGGTTTAAATATGTTCAGTGTGCCTGGTCGAGTCGGCCACTAAAGTTGCCATCAGTAATGACCTCATACTACTACGCCTTTGCGAATAAAGTCAGCGATGGTACTAAAAATGTTATGGAGCACAACCAACCTCACTCAAACAAAAGGGGAGGAGGTTTAAACAGAAAAACACTATCTGATCAAATGAACCATCTGTATTAAGTATACATGTATCTATTTAAATATTTCTTCAATGAAAAAACATCTGTAAAATATATCTACAATAAAAATGTAGAGAAAAATGGAGTACGTAGAGAAAAATAGAGTATAGAGGGCACTGCTGCAAGCTACAATGAACAAAAAGCAATACACTATTGGGTGTAAGTTTAAAAGAAAAATGAAGAGTGAAGTGCAACTCAACATCGTGTATACCAAACATGAAAAGTTGTTCATGGAGTAAAAATGTAGTTAATGTAGTAAAAATATAGCTCAAAGTAAAAATGAAAACTTGTCAGAATAAATTCTTTTAAAGTATATAAATATGTCAGTCTACTGTGTTCAAACATTATATTAGAAAATTGTATCTAAAAATCAAAGTTTTTCTTGTTTACTTTTCAGCAACTTTTCCAGTTTGTAAGGACAAAGAAGAATGAGTCTGTTTCCTTTTGTAATCTTTTTTTACTAATATCACACTTCTTTCAAAAAGGACCATGAAGATGCACATTTGAAAGAGCAAGCATGTTTACGCATATGTAACATATGCACAAGTAATCAAACATGCAAGTCACAGAATTACCTACACACATATTTACATAAAGCTGAAGCACTCACCACTAAATAGAATAAGCATATCAACACCCAAAAGATACTGGCATACTGTTTATGCACAAACACAACACACACACACAGACACACACACACACACACACAAACACACACACACAGACATACATAAACACACAAACACAGACAAGGACTCAACTTTACTGAACACTCTCATCCACATAAACAGATTCTTTTTAAAAATCAAAGCGTTTTGATAGCTTCATATGAAAGAAAATTAAGTTGTTAGTTTCAAAAGCAATACACAGCTTGACATGCCCCTGCCATATCACAGATTTTTGGTCTCTCCTAATCCAACTACAAAACCAAAAAATTTGGTAACCAACAAGTGACTACATTGCTGTCCCTGATTACTATAAGTGTAAGTGTATGGGTTTAATGCCTCTATCAAGACAATTAACTTATTTAAGAGGCAGGACCTCCAAATTTAACGCCTTTCTCCAATAGGACCGAGCAAAATGGGTTGAGAGCCTTGAAATCTACACAAAACGACCCGAGTTCAAGAATGCACGGTCTGGGATTCAAACCAGGGCACTCCACTCTGTAGTCCAGCATGATACCAACTAAGCTCACGGAGCATGCTGTTCCTTGTTAGACATAAAAGAAATTTACATTGAACAGGTAAAGGACAAAAAAAAAAAAGGTTAAAAGGATGTGGTCTAATCAGTGGCTGAGAAATGAGTGCCGAGACTATGAATAAACAAGAGACATTGCAAGTTCTATTTTTCTCTTCATATTGAAATTCTTTTTTGAAAGTAATGATACACAATTTAAATCATATTATATATATATATATATATATATATATCAACATGTCTTTTTACTGTTCCTTTAGAGCCACATAAAATTTCCCTCAAAGACAAAAAGTATTATCTTATTTTATCACATCGTATACTATAATCAGGAGGTTTCTAATTTCTAACACCAATCCCTATCTGTTCCACTTTTCTGACTGCTACATTTCATTTGTCTGAGAAACATGAAAGACTGCGTCTAGCTGGAACTTGTTGCTGTCATGAATTGATCCCACAGCTTCTGAATGCAATGTGAAAAAAAGCCTGCCTCTTAGATCACAGACAACAGTCCTAAAAAACCTCCAAAAATAAATTAACCAAAAAAAAAAAAAAAGCCCAGGCCCTGACTAATATGGGTCTGAGATACACTCCACCTCCCTCCTACAATGACAAATGAACAGAATGGTGATTGTAATACCCAGTGCCCATTGGCATGATCGGTTCAGTTCAGTTTGCTAGCCAGATTGAGGCCCGAAGTGGCTATTGTGGCACAAACCGATAGCCCGACTCGTCACCTCAAAAACAAACGCGCTTGTTCTCAGGTGACAGTCAGGCAATAGGTTTGCCAATCCAATACACGATCAGCCTAGAACTATCTTTCCTTGCAAAGAAAAGATATGCAAGTTGCAAAACTTAAACACTTCAGGTCCCTCACGTGTACATTTTTTCCCCTCTATGATCTAAGCTAAAAATATGGACATTATCTTTTCAAGTGGTGTAAAGACATTTCACTATAGATCAAAGTTGGCATAAAAAAATGGCACCAGACCCCGAAAAATGATAAAGATACCTTTTTTCGAGACATTCTCGAAGACAATGTGACAAGTTAAATATCTAAAAAATTCACAGAGCACCAGTGTTTACTGCCAGAAGCTACATATCCAACAATCATATGAGCCATATTGCTTGAAATGAAAGCAAGAATTTGGCAACTTTGCCTGAGCTCAAACAACAATAACATCTTTTAATGAAAGGGAGTAAGGCCTACAGATTCAATTGTCACTTTCAGTAGAGATCAATAACAGACTGATGTTTTGAATAGTGCAAATGATCATTTGGACCATTCAAAACATAAGTCAATAGCCAAAGACAGATTGTACAGACTCGACGGTACATCAATGTCCCAAGCAGTCATCAGCACAGAACTAATAAGTTATCTATTCAGATATTTATAAATTCTCAGCATTATTCATATCAAGGCATGCTTCTTCAATCAAGTACATGAAAGTCGGACAATAGAAAAAAAAGTTTCCCATTTGTTTCATCTTACCCAAAAAGTCAGAATCTGAGAAATACTAAGGAATGTATTTATTTTGGCAGGCTACAGGAAAGTGACACACTTCAGCGGTCAGCTGTTCAGATGTGCTAAGCTCAAAATTTGGAAAATTTAAGAAATTAGTTTCTCAATTTTGAAGTATAGATTGCATGTGCTCGAGAAATCATTTGTCAAAATTCAAATTCCAATGACCTAAAAGGGCATGAAAAGATACACAAAAAGGCAGTTTGTTGAAAATAATGAAACATAATAAGAACCTTGTTTTTTGTGGGGGGGGGGTTTTCTTTCAGTAATGGCTTTTTCATGAGTTTTTGACCACAAAGCTACATGGCGCTAAGAGACTCGTGGGTCTTTGCTCAATGGACTGTAGATCCGCAATGAGAAAAAGGATGGCTTTACTCATCTCTTATCATGGCACAAAGAATACTATGAATCTTTCAAAACAGCCTACAGCACTTTAAAAAACAAATGACTGTAAATATATCACGCTCACAATAACACAGTTTAGATCTTGTTTGTTCGAGTAAAGAGAAGCACATAGTCACAATAATGGTCATTTCGTACTAGGAAAAAGTAAGATGGAAGATGGACAAACACAGACATCAGCGGTAAAGTAAAAAAGTAGGATCTACCAGTGGCGCTCTCCACCCACCCGCACACACAATTTAGATCATCTAGGAAGCAAGAACCAGCCTGTCACGGCCAACCCAGGGCCTGTGGGGAGGTGTATCTCAACAAAAAGAGGGAGATACCTCCCCACTTGACAATCGAATCTTATCCTTTGTGTGTAAGATGAAGAGCCTAACCAGTGCACTAGAGGAAACCATCTTGTTGGAATCTGCTGATAGCACATGCCAAATAAAAGTGAGTGTGAAAATACTACAGTTGAATCAACATTAACGTTCAATTCAAACTGAGAGATAAATTCAGAATTGAGACATTCTTATGATACTCTTTATAAGGTGATTTTTTCGTAAAGTTCATCTTAATGTTCAAAACATAAAAATAGTGCAGTCTGAGCTTTCCAAAAAGACACTGAGAAAAAAGCATTTAAATAGTCCTGGGTGAGGCACTTTGTAAAAATAGTGTTTTGAGTTACTGTGGGCTTGCACTGTTTACTTTGCAGAAGATTTCATGGCACCTTTGATGTGCTTTTCATTGCCACCACCATTCTGCGATCTATACAAGAAATTTCACACCTTTTAAAAAGGTTTTGATCTTTGGTAGGTAACATCTCTTTACACTTCCATTTCACTTTTAGGAAAAACGTAGGTAAAAAAAGAAAAGAAGGCTCAAAATCATGAAATCTACATTAAACAGTCATAAAAACACAGTACCAGTATGCATTTCATACATTTCAAAACTGAACTTTTCACTAAAGCTTTTTCCTTAACCATACAATGTTAATACACTTTAACTGTACAAAAAATGTGTAGCTTTTTCATCAAAACAAACAATAATACAGTATAACATGGATAAGTCGAACGCAGAAGACTCGAAATCACACATCCGTTGAATTGTGCCTGCGGTCCCGCTTTTTCTTCTTCTTTATATTTGTAAGATATCCCTTGAACTATGGATTTCTCAAACTATGGATCCCTCGAACTACTGAAGCTGGTCCCGATGAATTCAAGCTATCCGTATTATACTGTACAAATAAATGGACAAAGGAGTAAGATATAGAACGAGATGTCCATGGGTTCACTACTTCGGGTCAGGAATAGCGGCTTGCATCTCACTGAGCATTTGCTGAATCTCATCAAAGGCAGAACTGATGTCGTTCTCAGATCTCACTTCAGGACCTGGAAAATGGGAGGAAAAACTCAAATTAGAAACAAAGAACACTTTTGTGGCATCAGTGGTCTAGTGGTTAGGCTACCGGACTCGTTATTGTGAGGTTGCGGGTTCAGGGGTTCGAGCCTCAGGCCTGACATTGTGTCCTCGGGGGAAGGCTCTTTACATGAATTTTCCTCACTTCACCCTGGTGGGGATGGGTACTCAGCCATAGACAATGAAAGATCTTGCCAGTATGTTAGTGTTATAGAGCTTATAGAATGGCAGCCTGCACTGTCTGCTTCGCCCGAATTTGCGATTGTTTCAGAGTGCGATCAGCTTTGCTGGGGTAATGATATAGATTGTAAAGGGCATAGAGCTCGCTGTTGAGTGGGAATTGCACTATACAAACGCTATCTATCTATCTATTCCACTATTCAAGATGGTAAGATGGGGTGAACTAGTTTACTGTCAAACAAGACCCCTGATTTCCAGCAACAAGACTGACTTTACACTTTACCGTTGTCAGCGATGTAGTGGTTAGATGCTTAGCTGTTGCATGCAGAAGACTTTAGTTTAATTCCTGAGTGAGGAGAATCTTTATCGAGTATCTTGGTTTTCTGCAGGGACGTGTTAAATCGTTCTCATCCTGGAATAGCACTGACAGGGAGGGTCAAATCCTGGCTTTTAAATTATCTAAAAAGTGTTGAATGGGGACAGAAAACTTCTATAATTACAAAAGATTAGCTTTGTGGTGCTCATGCAAAACTGCCACTTCTCGAAAATTGGTTTACAAGGTTGTTCTCAGGAGGTTCATTCCAAATCAGTGCTGGTCTCGAGTGAGCTAAGGGCCAGTACTGCCAAAAGCTGACAAAATGCCTTTTTTTTTCTTCACAGCAATTTCGAGAAAAAGAGGTGTTTTTTTTTGTCAGT